TATTCATGTGTCTTTTTTTAAACTGTATCCTTATAAAGAGGTTTTTTATGATTTAATAATAAACATACTTGGCTTTTTGGCTCATATAAGAAGTTATATTAAAAGGAAGTAAGCTTTTTGGCTCATATCATGAAGTTCCTGAAACAGGAAGGACTTTCTTTACTTGGCTTGGAACTACACCAACCATCACTATAATGGATCCTGAGCAAATCAAGGAAGTGTTTAACAAAGTTTATGACTTCCAGAAGCCACATACGTTCCCTTTGGGTAGGGTCATTGCCACTGGACTCGCTGATTATGATGGTGAGAAATGGGCCAAACACCGAAGAATTATCAACCCGGCTTTCCACCTTGAGAAGATCAAGGTATAGGCTTCTTACAATCATAACCTAAGATCAACTTTAGAGTACTTTATTTATGTATGCTAATGAATGAATTCGATGGGTAGCTACAGAAATAATTATATATATAAGGTAAAAGTAAATTTTCTTATAGTCAGTTGTTTATAAATTAGATGGTTTAGGTTTCTGGACTCCCTAGTTATGTAAGAGCATGATTAATGAGGGTTATTAAAGTGGGGTTCTTACGGAGTATAAGAAACCGTGTCTTAACTTTTGACTAAAAAAAAAAAGAACCGGCTCTTAAATATTCTTTAAGAGTCGGTTTTTAACTTTTTAGTTAAAAGTTAAGAGAGGATTTTTTATATTCCGCTAAGAATCTCATCCTAATAACCCCCCATTAATAATGTTCTAAAGTTATCCTCTGTTCATTTGACTCTTCCCAATCTGTTCCTTCTGCTTCCATGTGTAGAATATGGTACCTGTGTTCCACCAAAGCTGCAGAGAGGTTATTGGCAAATGGGACAAATTAGTCTCGGATAAAGGGTCCTCATGTGAGGTGGATGTTTGGCCAGGGCTTGTGAGTATGACGGCAGATGTGATCTCTCATACTGCTTTTGGTAGCAGCTACAAAGAAGGGCATAAAATATTTGAGCTCCAAGGGGAACTAGCGCAGCTCATTAGACTAGCTTTTCTTAAAGCTTTCATCCCTGGATACATGTAATAAAAAATAACCACTTGTCTGCTTCTTATACATTGGAGATGGGAATAATCTTCTTCTTTTTTTTTGCATAGTTATCTCCCAACAAAGGATAATAGAAGGATGAAAGCAGCATCCAGAGAAATCCAAGTTATACTGAGAAGTATCATTAACAAAAGGTTAAGGGCGAGGGAAACTGGGGAAGCACCAAGCGACGATTTGCTAGGTGTACTTCTTGAATCAAATTCAGGGCAAGCTAAGGGAAATGAAATGAGCACTGAGGATGTGATGGAGGAGTGCAAGTTGTTCTATTTTGCTGGACAAGAGACAACTTCAGTACTTCTTGTCTGGACAATGGTTCTGTTAAGCCAACACCAAGACTGGCAAGCTCGAGCACGGGAAGAAGTGAAGCAAGTTTTTGGAGACAAACCTGATGCAGAAGGCTTGAACCAGCTCAAAGTTGTAAGTGAAACCAAATAAACCAACCTTTGGATAATGAAAAACTTTAGTTGTGTTTTAATGATTTTTCTGAATGCTTAAAACAGATAACAATGATACTATATGAGGTTCTTAGGCTATATCCTCCAGCAGCGCAGCTTACCCGAGCCCTTCACAAAGAGATGAAGCTAGGCGACATGACACTTCCAGGGGGAGTTCAGATTAGTCTACCTATTCTGCTAGTCCATCGCGACACACAGCTATGGGGCAATGATGCAGCAGAGTTCAAGCCCGAGAGGTTCAAAGACGGTGTCTCAAAGGCGACAAAGGGCCAAGTCTCTTTCTTTCCCTTTGCATGGGGACCAAGGATCTGCATTGGTCAAAATTTTGCTCTGATGGAGACAAAGATGGCTCTGGCTTTGATTCTAAAGAGATTCTCCTTTGAGCTATCTCCTTCTTATGTTCATGCTCCTTACACAGTCATCACAATGCATCCACAGTTTGGTGCTCATCTTATCCTTAACAAAATATAATTCCACCACCCCATATGATCTTTATAAAAGAGCTTGTTATGTATGCAAGAGAAATAAGATTTCACAGAAGAAATTTGTCAAGATCATCATACTCTAAAACCATGATTATGTAATGTATATTTATTAATGATAGTAAAAATTATATTAATATGCTGTTATGTATAAAATCACATTTGTAATTATATATTATTTAAAATTTGGTGTTATGAATGATCAGATATATATATATAAATTAATCATTATAGCTATATATAAAATGATTATGATATAAATTTACATTTGTTAATATAAAAACCAATATATATATATATATAATTGTTGGATATATCAGTATTTTTATATATGGTCAGGTATATATATAATATATGTAGTATAGTATATAATTGAATTTTTTTTTCTTAAGTAGATGTGATTTTACGTCTACTAGTTAAGGTTTAAAGGTTTCTACACCAGTTCTGGGGTTCGAATTTCAGGCTACGCAGTTTTTACATTAAGAGGGTTTCAATTCCCGGAGAAGGTGAATGGCGAATTGCAGATTATTGGAGAAAATGTTTACAAGATATCTTCAGCATGACGCAAGGCGTATCGTCAGGAATAGATCTCATAGGACGGCTTAGGGTGATGCAGTCAGACGTGAATCCGCATAAGGCAGCGTAGAATTGTCGGCTGTAATATCGTCTGTGTAATATTTCTCATTTGTTTGTAATGCATAATTAACTAGTGTTAAAAAAATGTGATTTTATTTCCAAAATAACTTGAGGGTTGAATCGGTATAGATGGATTTGAATAGAATCAGTTAAACATGTAACTCTTAACTGTGACTAAACTAATGAAGTTAGATAATATGACGTTTTTTTAAAAAAGTAGATGTTTTCTTCTTTAAATTATTAGAATTTCATATTTTTATTATATATAACAAAATTCTTTACATTATCCGTCATCAGAATTAAACTTCGATATTGTTTTTCAAATATGAAGAAATTATGGAAGATTGCAAGTTGTTTCATTCCGCAGGACAAGAGAGACCACTTCAGTGCTTTTGTTTTGACAATGGTTTTGTTAAGCCAGCAGAAAGACTGGCAAGCTTGCGCAAGAGGAAGTGATGCAAGTTTTTGGTGATATAGAATCCGATCTTGAAGGCATTAAGCAACTCAAAGCCTGGTTAAGGAGGGTCATATGAGGAGATTTTACCACTAGAGCTGTCGAATCTTCATGTTTTACATATAAAAAACCAAATTTATATATTTAATGGGTTGCAGCTGACCCACCATTAATACATGTGGGTCCGCCTCTAACTCAAAGTTGTAAGTATTAAACCAAAACAAACTTTTTCAAGTTGATGCTTTCTTTTATGGGATTGTTGCATTGGTTTAGTTATCAGCTACTTCAATAAGTGCTACAAAAACAATAAGTTGAAAAACTGTTATACTTGCAAATTACTCTTTGTTTTGTAGCATTTTGATGTTTTTGTTGAATGAGTCTTACAATGATGATTCTTTATGAGGTGAGGTTCTTAGGCTATACCCTCCCGTCATTCAGATGAACCGAGCGGTCCACAATGAGAACAAACTTTTTGATATAGCAATACCCGCCGGTGTTCAAGTCAATATACAGGTTCTGCTAATCCATTGTGACACTAAGCTTTGGGGCGATGAGGAGGCAGCAGAATTCAAGCCCGAAAGGTACAAAGACGGGATCTGAAAGGAAACAAAAACCAGTTTTGTTTCTTGCCTTTCAGATGGGGACCTATAGCTTTGATTCTACAGATATTATTATTAGACACAAAGTGTCCCACATCGAAAGTTAGAAAGAATGTTCACTAGTATATAAGATAGGTGGGTCAATCCACTTATCACCAATTAGTTTTAGGTTGAATGTCCATCTTTCTTAATAATTCTCAGTCGGGCTTTTTCCTTCTTATGTTTATGCACTTTGCACAGTCATCACTATTCATCCACTACTTGGTGCTCATCTATCCTATACAAGCTAATATTACAAACACTTGTTATACACGAGCAAACAAGGCAGCATAGAGACGAAACTAATCAAGATCACATTCTTAAAACCATGTTTCTTATGTTTCCTTGATAACTACTCCATCTTTTTAGTGTAATACTTCAAAGTTTAAATAAATTTATTATTCGGGATAGTGTAAACTGTAAACCTATAAATAGTCACCAATAACCATATATTCATTTTTGTAAATCGTACTTTAAAGTTGTCCTAGTTGTATTTTATTGAGTTTCATGGACATCTAACCTTTTCTTCTTCTTTTTTTTTGAAAAAGGGCTTTGGATATGTAACTTCTCCATTAACTATTGCAAAGTTAATATTATGTAATCACAAAATATGCATATAAATACTATTATTTTCTTTCTTTTTTTGTCACTGATAAAATACTAGATTGTGTAGGTTTATTATTATTTTTAATTATTAATGATTTCTGTTTGTCTTTTACTTTTATTTGTTTTCATTATAGCAATTAGATTTGTTAGTTTATATGCAAACGGTTGAACATGTTTTCTTTAATATAATGAGATACTTAGAAAATTAAATAAGTTGAAATTATACGAAGCAGGTATAAATTTGTTTCGTATTATTCACTAGTTCCGAAAATATATAGGTGTATTTTTTTTTTGGACAAATATATGAGTGGTATTTAAAAGCAATGAATAATTGACAAAAAAACGCTAAATAATTGACTTGCATGGTTCCACCCAAGAAATGGCCAAATAGATTATCTCTATCTCTATCCATATCTCCCCCCCCCCACCCCAAAAAAAAAGAGATAATCTCTATTTGTTTCTTTTTTCCCCTAGTTGTTTCGTGTGCCTACGTAGCATGTGAATGTGAAGCTCAAAGTAAAGCAAAGGTTCGAAACAATTAAGAAAAAAAAAAGGTTCGAAACAAAATATCTTAGCCTACATTTTCAAACTATAAATTCTCAAGAATATTAGAGAAAGAATATTCAGTCTTTCTTTCACTGGGAGAGAAAATGGAGATATCAGTGGTGATAGTAATAGTTTCAATAGCTACAGCTCTTGTGAGTTGCTGGACATGGAGAATTTTAAAGTGGGTTTGGTTTAAACCAAAAATGCTTGAGAGTTACCTGAGAAGACAAGGTCTCTCCGGGACTCCTTACACGCCGCTCATCGGCGATTTGAAGACAGATTTCAGTATGACAATGGAGGCAAGATCCAAACCCATCAAACTAACTGATGATATCTCAACACGTGTTCTGCCTTATCCGGTGAAAATGCTCAATACTCACGGTATGTTTTCTGGTTGGTCTCTTTGTTGGTGATGAAGAAAACGTTTCCACTTTTGTATCCTTGATGTTATTGAAACAGGAAGGACTTTCTTTACATGGTTTGGAACTACACCAACCATCACTATAATGGATCCTGAGAAAATCAAGGAAGTTTTTAACAAAGTTTATGATTTCCAGAAGCCACATACATTCCCTTTGGCTACACTGATAGCCAGTGGACTCGTTGCTTATGATGGTGACAAATGGGCAAAACACCGAAGAATCATCAACCCGGCTTTTCACCTTGAGAAGATAAAGGTTTAGGCTTCTTGACTCCCTAGTTATGTAAGAAAATTCTACATCGGAAAATTAAGAATGGAGTAAGTAATATATATAGTCCCATATATATATAAGATGAAAATCGCATAAAAAACCTTCAAAATGACACTTACTAACACTGAATTTTTTTCACTAGCACTTTAAACCTTCAAAGTGACATTGACATTCGTGTCACAAAAAACCTTGAACTTGAAAATGTGACCAGTTCAACATGCCAAACAAGTTAATTATCAATTTTTCAAAAAATAAATATTTAAGAAATAATAAAAATGATTAAAAATCAATTAATTTTTCAGAAAAATTAAAGAAAATTTCATAACATAAAGAAAAATTTAAAATATAACTTCAAATACCAAAATTAAATAAAATTCTAAAAATTAAACAAAAATTAAAGAAAATTCACAAAATTGAACAAAAAATATATAAAAATCAAAAACTAAATTCCTTTTTTTTAAATTAAAGAAAATTTCAGAACATATAGAAACATTATAAAAAATTGAAAACTATTTGAAACCATCATCGTCAATAGTGATATATTTAAAATTTTTATTCTCAACTATAATATTTCCGATTTCTGAAAAAGAAATCTTGTAACTTTTAGGCAATTTTTAAAAAAAATTGACATATCATCGTTGCCAAAAAAATTCAAACATATCACTGTTGTAGTTCATGGTTTCAAATAGTTAAAAACATAATCTTGTACTTTTCAAAAAACTATTTTGAACTTTTTAATTTTTTATTTGGTGAATCTTCTTTAAATTTTGTTTAATTTTCTGAGTTTTATTTAATTGTGGATATTTCAATTTATTTATTTTTATAAATTTTATTTATGTTCAGAATTTTTTTTAAACTTTTTTGAAAATTAATTGATTTTTATTTATTTGTTTGATTATTTATTATATTTATTAAATATTTATTTCTCTGAAAAAACTAATAAAAATAAGAATTTTTCAGGTTTTTCTGCGAAAGAAATATTGAATAAATATGAATTTAATAAATACTCAAAAAAATAAATAAAAATCTGATGAATTTTCAAAAAAGTTCAATTTTGTGAATATTCTTTAATTTTTGTTTAATTTCAGAATTTTATTTAATTTTGGTATTTGAAATTATTTTTTATAAAAAATTTTATGTTCTGAAATTTTATTTAATTTTTTTGAAAATTTAAATGATTTTTATTCAATTTTTGATTATTTATAAAAAAATTTATTTATTAAATATTTATTTTTCGAAAATACTTGATAAATGACTTGTTTGACCTATTCAACAGGTCATAATTTTAAGTTTAAGGTTTTTTGTGACACAAATGTCACTTTGAAAGTTTAAAGTGTTAGTGAAAAACTTCAAGGTTTAAAGTGGTAGTAAGTATCACTTTGAATGTTTTTTATTCGATTTTCCCTATATATAAGGGACTTTGGTCAATCGATTTATTTAACGACACTTGATTTTGAGTTGGAAGCCTACTGTTTTGACTCTGCCAAAATTTTGCTTATATGTGTAGAGTATGATACCTGCTTTCCACCAAAGCTGCAGTGAGGTCGTTGGCAAATGGGACAAAGTAGTCTCAGATAAACGGATGCCATGTGAAGTGGACGTTTGGCCTGGAATTGTGAGTATGACTGCAGATGTGATCTCTCGTACTGCTTTTGGCAGCAGTTACCAAGAAGGGCAGGGGATATTTGAGCTCCAAGGGGAACTAGCACAGCTTATGAGACAATCTTTTCTGAAAGCTTTCATCCCTGGTTATATGTAATTTACAAAAAAATATTAATCCTAATACATTTAAGATAGGAATCATGTTGTGTCAAATACTCCTCTTCTTTTGTTTGCATAGATATCTCCCAACAAAGGATAATAAAAGGATGAAAGCAGCATCCAGAGAAATCCACGTTATATTGAGAGGGATCATTAACAAAAGGTTAAGGGCTAGAGAAGCTGGGGAAGCACCAAGCGACGATTTGCTAGGTATACTTCTTGAATCAAATTCAGGGCAAGCTAGAGGAAATGAAATGAGCACTGAAGATGTGATGGAGGAGTGCAAATTGTTCTATTTTGCTGGACAAGAGACAACTTCAGTGCTTCTTGTCTGGACAATGGTTATGTTAAGCCAACACCAAGACTGGCAAGCTCGCGCACGAGAAGAAGTGAAGAAAGTTTTTGGAGACAAAGAACCTGATACAGAAGGCTTGAACCAGCTCAAAGTTGTAAGTACAACAAAAAAAAACTTCACTCAGTACGTTTGTTGTGTTATGATGATTTTGCTGAATGCTTTTAACAGATGACGATGATACTATATGAGGTCCTTAGGCTATACCCTCCTTTAACACAGATGACCCGAGCCATTCACAAAGAGATGAAGCTAGGCGACCTGACACTGCCAGGAGGCGTTCAGATCAATCTACCTACTCTATTAGTCCATCGCGATACACAGCTATGGGGCAGCGATGCAGACGAGTTCAAGCCCGAGAGGTTCAAAGATGGAGTCTCAAAGGCAACAAAGGGCCAAGTCTCTTTTTTTCCCTTTGCGTGGGGACCAAGGATCTGCATAGGCCAGAATTTTGGTCTTTTGGAGGCAAAGATGGCTTTGTCTCTGATTCTACAGAGATTCTCCTTTGAGCTTTCTCCATCTTATGCTCATGCGCCTTACATAGTCATCACATTGCACCCACAGTTCGGTGCTCATCTTGTCCTACACAAGATCTAGTTCCACAACACCATTTCCCCATTCTCTGTTCATTGTTGTATTATCCTGCAGGTAGTTTCACTATTTTGATTCTACTATAATTTGAGTTGATTTATCATATGATTCATTCACTCTCTTTTTGGCACTAAAACTTATCTTTGTTTACATTAATATTATTACAGAAATGAATTTATTTGCTCATCTTCAACATCTTACAATTGAGCTGTTTCATAAGTCATTAGATTTTACTTGTGAGTAATTGCGTCTTCATTTCTAGCTTCAATCCTCCATTTACTAGAACAATATCAAAAAATGTATTGAACCCTTTTACAATCACTATATACTTATTAAAATCACAAATTACTACTTCAAGAGAAAAAAAAAAAGGCTGTTACAAAACCACTCATACATATATATACACACAAAAATCATATTCTGCTTGCTTACGCGTAACGCAATGAAAAATCCCTTACTCCCTTGCTCTACAAGTCTTTACATTTCAGGCACCACGTTGATGCAAACAAGCTGGAGGCAGACGGTCTGAAGTCCCTGGAGTAACCGGAGGGAAACTTCTAATATTAATGCCTTGAGGATATAAACGATACTCTATATCTAGCTCTCTACAAGCTTTTCCAACTTCCTCTAGTAATTGACCTCTCCTTATAAACCTCTCTCCCATATCTTGAAAGTTCATTCTATGTGTCAACCACACTGCGATCTTCACACTTTTCAAGTCATCCATGTTTAGGAACACAATCATAGGTGCCGGATACCAATGGTCCTTCTTGATGTCTATATAACTGCATGACAAAAAAAAACACAAGAACATCATTTAAGAATCTTTGCTTCCAAGGCATAACCTAGCGTATAAGGATAACTATAGGTGTTTAGGGTTTAAGGTTCAAAGTGTTCATAATTTGAAAGGTCTTGAAACTTCAAAATTTTACGAATTAATATATAAATATAGTCTCCTAAACTGTTAGAAAATATTAAGTTTTTACTAATATCTCAAAGGACCGGAGATCTTAGAATCTGAATTTAACTAACCTGATTATTCTCTGTTTTATAGCAGCTATCTTTTCTGGAGGAGTTGCTATGTGAACAGAGAATTCAACTGCATCTCCCATATCAGGACTCCGGAAATAGTTGGCTATAGGTTTTGTGCCAAGAACACTATTCGGGTATATGATCTTTTGATTATCATATCGCAAGAAAACAGTCGTCAATATGTTCATTTCCTCCACAACCAACTGGTGACATAAACAGCAAGATCAGAGAACCATTTCACTAATACTATAAGTCTAGTAGTTTATTGTATTAGGAGGGAACAAACCTGAACACCGTCGATTTCGCAGCGATCACCAACATCAAATGGGTGCATAACAAAAAGGAAAATGATTGCTTCAAAGATGGTTTTGCATGAGTTTCCAAATATAAAGGCTACTAGAAGGAGCTGAGAGCTTAAGACTAGCAAGAACTTGGTTGTGGCGATTCCTAGTATAAGAAGCCAAATGATTATGATTATAATGCTAATCAACACATTGATTATACGGTGAAGTCTGTTCACTGCTGTCTTTGTGTCGTTTAAGGTCAAAGCCAGAGCCCTCCGTTCTCTAAATGCCTTAACCTGTGAACAGAAACTCCCATGGTCAAGATAACTCTGTTTTTGCATTTGAAATGAACCTTATAATGTATAATTTGCAAAATTTTAGGTTTTTTTCATGTTGTCAAAGAGTTGAAACATACCACCCAATTCTTGAGGCAAGACTTGCTAATCCTATTGCTCTCTGAAGCTCCTTCAAAGAGCCCCATGGCTCTTTCAGACTCCTCTTCAGACAAAAACCGCAAGAAGTCTTCCAAATTTATGTACCTAAAAACCAGAAAAACTCTCAAAATTTGAGCATAAAGAATTTTTAGAAATATGATAATCACCAGGTCCTGAGATTTTGGGAACTACAAACAATTTAATATACTCCCTCCGTTTCAATTTGGTTAGATTAAAAATTATTTAATTTTGTATATTTTCTAAAAAAAAGCACAATTAACTATACATCTAACCATACTTCAACCAATAAAAAAATAGAATAGTAGATAAAATTAATAAATTTTATATTGAAATTATAAAACGACACTTAGTTTGAAACGGAGGGTGTATGAATTTTAACAAAATCTTGTATTTTAACATTTTGAGAGTATATATTTATCTATAATAACTTTTAGAATTTTGGGACCCTACGCAAATGTTTCACTTGTCTATGCACATAATCTGTCATGATGATCAAATTCAAGATATATACCTGGAGCCAGGCTCAGTGACATTGTGAAAAATCTTCTTAGCTGCAATCTTTGCTTCGCACTCGCTTCTTATCTGCGTAGCATGCTCACTCTCCTCAACTGTGTCTTGCATATGCTCATCCAAAGTAGAAAGAGCGCCTTTTCGTATAATATTCATCAGCTTGGTCATGTTCCAAGCAGACACATTGTCTGTATTCATCCTCTGTAACTGATCAATCCTTATCTCTTCATCACTATCTCCTTCTTTGCCAGAACCAATCCGAGACAGCCTCGGACCTTTCCCGGCTTTCATAAAACTCCTAACCGTCGCTTTTAGAGCTGGAGGCAACTTAGCTCCAGCCAGCTTCTCTAAGCTCTTAACATCATCTGTCACTTTCTGTTCTTCTTCCTCCATTCTCTGAATCTCCATCAAAGGAAGACCAGAGAGAGTTTCAATCACGTACTGAGTGAACAAAGATTCTTGAATCCGATCAAAGTAAGTGCTCATGTGGAAAGATGAAGCAAGAACTTTAACTAAAAGTGTCTTTATCAACCAAATGATCACAGCAACAAGGAGACAGACCAAAACTCTCGTCACGTACCTAATTGCTGTGGTCCGAGTCTCTCTTTCCACTTTCTTGTCGAACAAGAAGTGCCACGCAAGCAACACAAGCCCTAGCCACAAGGTGTTTTGAACAGACTTTCGCACTCCGTAGACGAAATACAAAACCCTCTTCCTCAGAACGAAGTTCTTCTCAGCAGAGAAGACGAGTATCCTCACTATCCAACTCGAGACTAATCTCCCGCAAATCAAAACCAAAACCGTCACTTCCCACTTCCAAAGATCTAGCTTCCACCATGTCTTGCGTCGCAAGCTATGTACTGTTAAGCTACAAACCAAACTTGTCACTATCAGAACAAGACTTATCCATTCAAGCAAAACCCATATGCTAAGTTTGTCTTTCTTGAACACATCAGGTAAGTCCTCGTCAAGAAACGGATCTTCCTCCTCGTCTTCCTCCAAAATCCCGGTTCGAGATGGAGTCCCCGGTTTAGGGCTTCTTCCGAGAAACCCGGATTTCCGACCGGATCTCATCTCTGTCTTGTCGATAGCTGGATGCGTCGGTGTTGGAGGATCCATAAGTCTTGACTTCGTCTGGTTCCTTCTCAATATCGGTTTATTGATGCTACACTTCACGACCTCTGCTTCGTCTCTGCTGGTTCTGTGGTGACGGCTCTCTTCGTCGCTGCTCCCACCGAGAGAGATTCTGTTCTGTCTCCTTCTAACCGCGTCGGCTTTTCCTTTAGCCGTGAACGGAGAAGAGGTCTCTGATATCGCCGGTAATCCACGTGGCGACGTGTTGCTGTTAAGCTCTGGGGTGTTTATAAGGTCCATATCGAGAGAGATCTCTCCACCGGAAGTTGTCTGCTTCGAGGGAGGTTCAGACAAAGCACCTGAACGTTCTCTCTGCTGTCTGAAATGGAAACTGTCGCCGCCTACGTCATCGTTTTTACCCTTTTCGCCATCCCAAAAGTCGTAGCTCGACTCTTTCCAGAAGTTGCCGCCGTCAGCATTGCTGCTTGACCCTGCAGCACCAACGGCTCCGCTCTCTTCGCCGTTAATCTTAACGACGAAGTCACGCCGGTCAGTGGAATCAAGGGCCATGATTGGAGAGAGGGTTTTTTATTTTATTTATTTGGAACAGAGACGAGTGAGACAAGTACGAGCTTAGAAGAAGAGATGAGAGGTGTGAGAGTTAAGTAACAACTTGAGCCAAATAAATAATAAATGTTATGAAACAAAATAGCAGCCTAGCAGGTGTGTATTTGGAGTGTATGAGAAAGCAGAAGAAGAAAGTCGCAACGTGTAAATAATTTTCATTTTATTTTCATGCAAGATTTTGAGATTTTATAATGCTAAGTATTGTGACTCGTGTGATAAGAATATGATATAATGTTGATGTGAGTTGGTGAGATAAGATTTGTGCTAAATTTGCTAAAAAGCAACAAAATCAATAATGTGATCAAAAGCTTCTTTTTCTTTTACTGTCCCCTGAAAAATTAGAAATAAAAAGAGTAGTGTGTGCTTGTACGGAATGACAAGGAAATGGTAGTGCGATTTCAGAAATTTGATAGCAAAAGTTTTTCGGCTTTTGGAGTTTTAGATAGATTACAAGCCTTTTGCATATCTTTTTGCAAAAATCAAGAAAGATTAAAATTGTAAGAAAAAGTACTATTTGTTTTCTATGTATTGTACAAGTGTTCCCTTGTTCTAAAGAAACAAGAGTAAATTATGGTGCAAACATATTTCTTTTAACATAGGTTAAATATTATTCTTAACTTATTTTGAAAAAAAAAGAGAACTATTCAAATTATAAATCTATAATATTTTGAAAACGAAACGGAATCGTATGTAGTTTTTGAATACTAAGATAACAAAATTATACATGTAATTTGAGGTGAATACTTTAGTGGGTTAATCCACTATGTCTTAAAGAGGTATCAAATTTTATCTGTCAAAGAAAAGAAGATTAATTTGATGCTAATATTTTGTCCAATGAAAAGTCAGTAATCTAACTTTATCAGATGAAAAATCATAACTAATAACTTTTAAATGGCATTCTTCTCATCGTGATCTTCCATTCAATTTTATTACGTAAGTACTACCACTTTGACCTTTATATTAGATTCCAATTCATCTGATTTAGCACTGAAACATGAATCTGCTGATTGATTGAACCACTTAT